GGCCACGGGACGTTCCTAAGGCATCTGATTGACACTGCTCTGCTCTTCAGTAGCAAGTCAGCAAAAAGTGGTGCTCATTACAGACGTGGGGACCCTATTGCTCAGAGGAAGAAAATTTCTGGTCAGGTCAGCTAAATTTCTTTCTCCGTTGTGTTGCACATCACTTAGCACATCGTGCTGGTCTTGGCCATAGATGCCAGCGTCATTAAAAGGACATGGTGTTCCACCGGGAATCTTGGCTCGACACTGATTGCAGCGCGTCCCCTGAGTGCATCTCTTCCACCAGACATCCCAATTTACATGTCTGTCTTTAAAACAGTTTCCTTAACTGTTATTGCCCATCAAACTTTGGCTTCAGCCTAACAGGCTGTAAGTGCTTGGTGGTCCTCGTGTCACCGGTTCAGCCGAAGGGTGCTGGGGCTGTGTTCCTCCATGTCTCTCATCCTTTGATTGTTCTCCAGTGCTGCCCTACGTTCAGCAAGGGCAGCTCTGTGAATTATTTGTGCTCGCAGGCACACAAAGTGCTGCTGGTGCTTTCGTTACCACTGGCCATCTCGACAAAGGGTGGCTGGGCAGATACTCTGCCTGAACTAGTTGATTTGCAGACAAATTCTGCAGTTCTGCAAAGCTTATAATTCCTGTGCTGCTCCCTCGATGAGAATAAGGCTTAGCTTATTGTTATTGCTTCTAGTTGGCCATCAAACCAGAGCCTAGCGAGTGGGCTGCGGAGCTCTCTGGGATGTCCGTGTGTTCTCCTCGAGCAGTGGCTCAGAATTCAGATGAGGCTTCAGCTGGATTTATTGGAGTGGCACGGTATACGCAGCGGGAGCTTTGAGTTAGGGCATGAAAGAGTGGTGCGTTCCCAGCAGCAGAAGGCATTAATGAAATATGTTCCTCTTACTGACTTGCTTTGAACTGTCACCTGTGACTACGGCAACCACATCCGCGGGGCTGTGCAGCACTTACTGATGCACAGCAAGTAAAGTCAGTAAAAATGTCCCTGCTAATAGACAACATCATGGCAACGCTCTTCTTTCTGCGGCCGCTGGTGCAGACGGGGTGTTTTGGAGCCGCGGTGCAGAACCTCCCTGCGCTGCGAAGCAGAGAACGTCACCTGCTCTGATGGGAGGACCGCTGCCAGGAACCGAGGCTTCTTTGAGTCTGACCCTTTGCTCCTTCCCTAGTACCTGATTTTCTTTGACAAAAGAGGATTATTGGAAAAAAACCAGCCCACTCCAATCCGCACAAGGGGAATTTGTGGTCCTCCTGTAGCGGAAGGAGGAGGACATCCAGAATGATGTCCTTAAATCAGAGCAAACACTCCCCGTGCAGGAGGGGTCACGGTTACCACCCTTTCTGCTTTGCAAGCCCTGAGGGTCGTTTCTAAAAACGCATCATGCCCACATAACGTTCCGTTCAGAAATCCGCTCGCGCCCTCCGCGTACGTCTGGCTTGTAACGAGATGTCAGCCTGCGCCGGCTTCTCTCCAGAAGCTCCAAACCCTCCACCCCGTTTCATGTTAGTTCCTCCTGCCTACCTGAGACCTAAGCAAACTGCTAATTGTTGTGCAGATGTCATCTTCCAGGCAGGCATGAGGTTGTAGGCTTTAAAGAGGCTGTGCTGTCATTTGCCACCAGCCTTCTCGGTACACGTGAGCTCTATTTTTGTGGGAGTGCATATTTTCTTTCAGCCGCTGCTTTGTTGAATTTCTTTTTCTTCTTTTCTCTTTTTTATTTCCAGGCTTGCAGGTGAAGTTTTAGGGATACATCTATTTTTCATTATCCCAGTTTTGCTGCTTGTTTTATAACTAAAAAAATAAACCCAAAGAACCGTTTCCGATGTAACAAGCAGGAGTTTATTCCAAGATGAGTTGAGGGGGAAACTGTGTGTCATGATCAGCCTGGGATTGAGGTCTGGACTGTGGCATTGACCAAAAGGATGTGTAGATCTTCTGGGAGCAGATGGAGTTTGAGCCTGTGAGTCCTGCTCTGGGTTTTCCAGCTCAGGAGCCTGGGTGTAGGTTGTAGCCTGGTTGCACTTGGCAGTGTCCCGAGAGGTGGAGGCTTTGGCCACAGGTCTTTGCCTGGCTTCTGAAAATGGACAACTTTTCTTCTGCTCTGGTTGTAGTTCGAGTAGGGCTTGTGGGTCCTTGAGGTGGTTCTTTGAACCTTGAGAAGTGAGGAGGACATTGAAGGAGGATATCAGGAGCCAGGTCGGAAACGCCAGGTGTTACTTTCACCCACAGTGTGAATTAAGCATGAACAGTAGCTCCTATCTTTGAACTCAAGTCCCAATCAACTGGATTTTTGGTTTTCCCATTAATTGCTTTTAGAGTGGATCTGGACACCCACAGCATGGAGTCATAGAATTCTATGATTCATAGGGTTCTATGATTTCAATTAATGGGAAAACCAAAAATCCAGTTGATCGGGGCTTGAGTTCAAAGATAGGAGCTGCTGTTCATGAAGACCCTGGGTCAGGAGTTTTTGGAAGCTGCAGGAGTGCATCAGATGTATTACTATTTGTGCTCCCCATTCTGCTCCTTTTTCCTAGACATCCACCACCGACCAGTGTGTTTTGATGTTTTGACTTTTTTTTTCTTTTTTTTGGCTAATGCAAAAACCAAGCAGGAAGAGGAAGAAGGAACCTAACAGCGTGGAGAGAGACAAGATAGCAATAAAGGGATGGAAGGAGAGGACTCCGCTCCCTCCATGTCCCCGAAGTCCTTTGGGGCAGAGGTCCTTTGGTGGCAGGAGTTGGTGTGGGGTGCACCCGTGAGCATGTTTTCTGCTTTGTGGAACAGAAGATGGTTGCTTCAAGGAAGGAAAAAATATGCAATGCAATGTGCCATCCTGATGGACAACAGAGGCAGAAAGAAAGATATTTCGGACTGCATGTATGGGAGGAAATTCTTTAAAACCTGGATAGGAGTAGGAGCAGGCTTGATGGAGGGATGAGTAATGAAGGAGTGTTTGAACGGAACTAATCAGTCCCATCTTCTTTCAAAAGACCTCATTTAGTTTAATTTAGCAGCGTGTAAATTTAGAGCCAATCAAAGGAAATACTTCTCCAGCCTGTGTGCTGGCAGGCGGCTGCGTTCCCTACCCCAGCGTGAGAAGCAGCGAGCTGGATGCCGTAGGTGGATCGAAAGCCTCGTGTTGGGAGGCAGCGGGGGCACGTGTGAGTATGGTTACGCACCGAGCGGTGCGGGCACGAGCTCCCTACCCTGCACTGGCACCCCCAGAGCAGGACCTTTCTTTTTCTCCCCCTCTCTAGTTGAGTACGTGGTCTGTGGTCGGCCAGGGCAGCTGTGTGCCACGGGATTGCTTTGTGGTCTGCTGCAAGCACGGGCAGAGCCCGCTCCTGGGCTCCCTGGCTGGAGGAGCCAGAGCTCCGAGCAGCAGGGATAACGCTGTGGGAACCACCAAGTAAACCTTGTTCACCTCTGCAAGATGTTGTTTTCCTCAAGCAAAGCCTACGTACGTAGTTAGATAAGCTCCTGATCCTTTGATGGCTGGTAGTTTTGTTTAATTTGAGTTAACGCAGCTGCTTCTGTGCTTAAAATGAGGTACGTGCATAAAAATGCCTTGGCAGAATTGCACAGAACTTTATTTTTCCCTGTAGTTGTCATCCATGGCACTAACACGATGGTTTTAAACAAGACTTGCAGGTCTCTTCATGTTTTCCAGGAGAGATATAAGCCCCTGCAGGGTCGATATAAGCTACTTTGTCATTACCTGTCGTAACCATTAGTGGTAAAACGGGCACCCTTTGCTGTCAGCTGCCCCCGTTGAGACCCACACTCCAACACCTCGAGGTGTTGTGTTTCCTGAGGTGTCGCAGCCTTGAATCCGTGCTGCGTTGTGGAACGTCTTGTGAAGAATGCTAAAACCTATGAAAACATGGACTGAAATATTGTTGGTTTTGTTTTCCTTTGCATTTCAGGCTGGTGGCAATGTCTCACTGGGCTGGACTCCTCTCCACCGCTGCCAAAGTCAACCTGCTGGTCTTGGTGGTTTCTGTGGTGTTTTCCCAGTCAAGCCTAAGCGACAGAGTTCCCGTAAGTGTTGGCTGTTCCGGCTGAGAGCCGCGCTGGCAAAGGGCTGCCCAGCCACCGGCGTCTCCGGTGGGGTGACAGCCTGGCCTGGTTCCTTGGTGGTGCCAAGTAGGGTGTTGGAGCAGTTGGTGAATCACCTCTCCTCGACAGTGGGTCTTCAAAAACAACATTTCAGAAGGGATTCTTTCCTAAGACTGCTTGCTTCAGCCCAGCAAATCCAGAATATGCCCAGTCCAGAGGGTTTCAACAGGAGCAGTGCAACTCGGGCAGCTGCCTGGTGTGCTTGGTGTCACTTTTCCTGTTTGGAGTTGTCACACGTTCCCCCCATGGCAAAAGGCAAAGCTAATTATGTGGTTTAGTGGTAAGAAGAGGGGAAGAGGTGGCCTTGGTTGGGTTCCTAGCTGTGCCGCTGTTGAGTTACCATGAGCCAGGCTTTGAAGAGCATCCTCTCAGGTCCTTGCGTCCCATGTGCATGAATGTTGCTACTTGCAGCGTTGTTTTGAAGCTGCAGGTGAGGTGAGTGGGTGCTCTCTCCCCCTTTGCACTTGTACAGATTTGCAGAACTCCCCTGGTTTGGATTCTGCTGCTGAGCCCCAGATGCCATATGCCCTCCTGGATCAGCAGATCTGGAAAGCTTCTTTGAGGAAGCTTGAGCAGTAGAGAGTGGTGGGATTTTAGTTTAATTAATGCTGTGGCTTAAAACAGAGGGGCTCGCAGCAACACTGGCAGAGGGGATCACTGGACCCCGTCTCCCTGGCCGCTCGCTCCTGCCTTTGCATTGCAGCTCGCTGGTCTGTTGGTTGTGTGATGCAGCTGTTTGGGCTGTGCTGTTACCCAGAGCAAATAAAAGGGACAGATTACATTATAAGCACGGTAGGTCAGTACCTGGGGCCCTCCTGGAGTCATGGAACAACGGGATAATTTGTCTTTATTTCAGGGAGGGAAGAGGCTGGGGATAGAGCACAGTCATCCCAGCTGGAGAACAAGCCTTGGGACAGCCACCCAGCGATATGTGCCCGAATTGGCAGGCGGCTCGACACTGGGGTTCGGACAGGATTAATGCAATGGGGGGTTAACTCCTCCATCACCTTTTCCTGCACTGTCCTTGCAACGGCTCCGTGGTGACCACAGCCCTCCTTTATTGCAAGCAGACTGCTGATTGTCTCAAACCCTCCCTGCTGAGGCTTTTCAGCTTATTGCAGTTGACTTCAGACTGATAAAGCAAGGAGGCTTTTTGCCTTTGGGGAGATTTGTATTGTTCTTTAAAAACCATCGTTCTTTTTACTATTTTAATGATGAAAACAAACCCAAAAAGATTCTACTCAATTTCTGCGTAAACGAAGAATTGTTTGTGTGTTGTTGCCTGTTTTTGTCCGAAATACTAAGGAAAACGGAGTATTGCAAAGCAGTTGTGGGTCAAGCAGTGGCAGTGACATTTAAAGGAACCAAGTCACATCCTTTTATCCTTACTGAACGTTTAGACGGGGGCATGAGCAGAGCCGGTGAACATCAGCTCTCTATTATGTCTTTCAACAGCTACAACACTCGGAGGCCTGTTAGTAAATTTACAATAGCCTGTATGGTTCAGTCCCTCTTGGATAATAATATAGTAGTGTAAATAAGCTGAGTAATAACTGCTCTGACTCATTTATTTGAGTCCTGTTGAGTTTTGGCTCCGAAAACGTTCACATTGATTTTCATCGGTAGAACCTGGCTTTTTATGTTTAGGATTGTTCCTGAGCTTGAACCGTTTGTCGTAATTTTAACAATTTCCAGCCTCCGATGCGCTAAGCGAAAGCAGGAGTTAAGCTCCGTTTCCCAGTGTGTTTCCAAAATTTCCACCCCTTTTGACAGATAAAATAAGAGCATTCTATAGGTTTGTCAGCCATCTTCGTGTGTTCCCACTGTCGTTGCTAGTTGTGTTTTGCTCGGGCTGATGTTTGTCTTGCTCAGGAACCCTCTCCTAGGCTGGATAATGGATATGGATAATGGATATGGATTATGGATATGGATATGCAAAGCACCCAGGTTCTGCCAGAAAACACGCACGCGTTTTTTCCAAGAAGTGAAGGCAGAACATGGCCTAAAATTTCCAGTTAACCTCTTAATTGACTACTTTTTTTTTTTTCCCTGTGAAAACGTTCTAAGGATTGATATCAAAACACTTCATGAAGTGAGCTGTAACTCTAATTACCCAACAATTAGAAATAATCTTTCCCTGTAGGCTGCTGCTTTGCAGTTATTCAGTGGTGGTGTTCTTGGCGATATCAGAAGCTGATAATACTCCCTGCGATGGAAATGGAGCTGTCTGGATGATTAACCTGGACCAGCTTATCTGTTCCTGTGAAAACTGGAACAGCAAAGCCCCGCTCCTCGAGCAGTTAGCAGCCTGGTGTGAGATCGTACGCAGTCGTTACTATGTGCTCTCCGTAATTTTATCCGCTGCAGTCTTACATGACTCCCACCAGCTCCCTAGGGAGACGTTCCAGTGAACAGCGAGGTTTCCCTCGCAGCAAGGATTTTTTTAAATTTTTTTTTTCCCTGCTTTTCATCCTCGTTTCTTGCTTTGCCTAATGTCGTGCCGGCTGATCTGCCACACCTCTGCCGTTCGCGCGCTGCGCTCGCGACGTAGGCGGCGATTAAATCGCTGCCTCATTGTTTTAAAAGATTTGGAGGACACGGGGAACGGGTGGAGAAAAGGATGTTCATGTTTGCATCGTGTAGGCAATTCGGTGTGTTTTCCCCATCTCCTGTTTTGGAAATAGCTGAACTATTTTAGCTGAAATCTTCTCCAAGCCTGAAATAAGTGCATTTAAGAAAAAAAAAAACCACAACAACCAACGCTTGAGGCGTTCCACTCGTGTGGAAGATTTGAGCTGAAAACGTTAAGTTTGACATATTTTCAGGCAAGGGAAAACAGGATCTTGGGACGTTACACAACCCTAACAATAGTCGGGCCTCCTGGCTCTGACTGTCACGCAGGTGAGGCTCCAAAAAAGCTTGTTTTGAACCTGCAGCCTGCACTGCAATAGGAAATAAGCTGCTTTGTTCAGCACAAATGTCACGCTAGTTATGCATGTTTAACCTTTAATATACTTTAAGTCTAAATGTAACCATGTGGAAAGAATCTTGGATGTCAAAAAAAAAAAAAAAAATCTGCTGGCGAGGGAAAAAATTTTGTATTCTCAGCCGGCACTAAATTACCCAGATGCAATTGCTAATGAGCTGAATCTCTTCTATCCAAAAGGAGTTTGCCCTCACAAAAATAGAAGAGAGCGACATAAAAGATGACAGCGGGAAAGAGGCGATAACAGAAGATGATGCTGATCCCGAAGACCTGGAAGTGTTTTACCCCACACATCAGTGGCAAACCATCCGTCCAGGTAACGCGCTGATGACTAATTATAGCGTTCCTCTAAAACCCCACCTGACAGCACCGACAGAAGCCTGGCAGAAGCTCAAAATACCTGTTTGTTCCCATGACAATGTATTCTTGTGCTGGAATTCAAAGAGGTACGGACCCAATGACCCAGTACAGGGGCAGGAGACCGTCACTGGCCTGGCTGGCGATGGGAGCGGTGGCTAAAGTGCTTTCGGGTCACTGGAGCAGGTGGAGTGGGCTGCCAGTCACGTTGCAGGTGGTGATGTGTCTCTGTCACTAGCTCAGAAACCCTTTCTCTGGACGTACGCTTGTCAAGGGATGGATTTTCTAACGTTTGTTGGCACACGGTGGCCCAGGTCTGCTGTGCTCTGGGGTGGGCTGGTGAAATGCTGCTCAGTGGCAACCTGATTAAGGATCGTCAGTGTAACGCGACACAGCTTTTTAACAATGGGTTTTCTGTTCCTTGGCTGTTAGAAATCCAGCTTTTATCCCTATCCGTACATCCCCCACAAAAAAAAAATCTCTTCCCTTTTTTTTTGGGTTGGTATCTTTTATTAGACGTGTGTGGGACGCATATGGTGAGAAAACACCAACTGAGCAGGCTGCCTTCGCCGCGAAAACCTGTGCACTGGGAAAGGCTCTGGAGAGGATAAGGCCATTGAAACACACACGGATGCGTGTGAGCACACGTATTTCAGCAATTAGGGCGATCAGTAAGCCTGCCTCTGGGGTCTTGGGCAAGGTATTTAATCCACTTGTGCTTTGGTGTCCTCATATATATGCAGGTGTAATACCTTCCCACCTCAGAAGGGCGAACTAAGTAGTAATTAATTTTTATAAAGCGCTCTGAATTTAAAAGGGCTTTATCCTGTGCTCAGTATTGTCATCGAAAGAATAAATACGGGATCCGTTTGTCTTGAAATTTCTGCCAGATATAGCAGAATGACTTCTCCAAATGTAAATCTTTGTGTAACGTAAAAGTAGCAAAAGCCCCTAAATTTCACAAAGCTGCAGTATATACTTATATTCCATTTTTGTACCGTTATGTATGGAAGGCGTGTGGTGTCCCTGCTTAGCATTCAGACTGGCAGATCCCCACCACCCTTGTTGAAGCAGAATATGTATATTTTTGCAGTCGTTATAAACGTCATTGCCAGTTGTGTTAAGAAGCACCTTCTCTGTTCCTCGGGTGCCTTGTTCCACTTTATTTTTGTAGCAATTCCACGTTGGGCATGTGCGGCGAAGGGCTTATGGAAACGAGGAGCTTGTCAGCGTTCACAATGTGCTGTAGGAGAAGAATTTCAGTTGCTCTTCTAAAAGGCTTAAATGGTGGCCTGCCTCACTGTCTGGTCGCTACAGATCCTCATTTCAGGTGTGCGCGCAGATTTGGGTAGGAACATGTCAGAATGAGGGGTCTTCCTTCATCTCCCCGCTCCAGCCTGGGTTTTGGTCTCCTGCAGGTTTCTCTGAAGCGAAATCCTGCCTGTGGACTGTGGCTCGCACTGTTAGCACATGTATTAGCCAAAGCAAGGCTGGGGAATCTGCAGGCTCCGTGAGCCCATCCCTGTGGCCTCTGACCTCAAGGGTTTCCCCGTGCCGGCATGAGTCCAAGCCGGAGAGGCTGTTGACCCGCTGGATGAGGGAAGCAGCTGGCATGGCTGCACGAGGGATGTGCCTTTCTGTCCTTTAGCAGAGGAGCACGCGTTGGCAGCGTGTCTGATCTGGTGGTTCTGCATCTTCCATTGTTCTCTGATGGGACTTCAGTGGCTCGTAGCCGAGCAGAGCCCCGGCCGGGCTGGCGGGCGTCCGCTCAATGCGGGCCGAAGCCAACGGCAGCACGATGCTCAGAATCTTGTCTTCTGCCACCCACCTCTCCGGGCTGCTCCTGTGCTGTCTTCTGTTGTATCCCTGCAGCAAATGGGACCGGGCTCTCTCAGGGAAGCAAATGTTTTGAATTGAAATCTGAGTCTTCAGTTTTGACAGGCTGAGAGAGTTGGGGCTGTTCAGCCTGGAGAAGAGAAGGCTCCGGGGAGACCTTCCAGCACCTTCCAGTGCCTAAAGGGGGCCTACAGGAAAGCTGGAGAGGGACTTTTTACAAGGGCATGTAGTGATAGGACAACGGGTAATGGCTTTAAACTGAAAGACGGTAGATTTAGATCAGATCTAAGGAAAACACTTTTTACATTGAGGGTGGTGATGCACTGGAACAGGTTGCCCAGAGAAATGGTGGATGCTCCATCCCTGGAAGTGTTCAGGCCAGGCTGGATGGGTCTTTGGGCACCCTGGTGTAGTGGAGGGTGTCCCTGCCCATGGCAGGGGGGTTGGAACTGGATGCTCTTGAAGGCCCCTTCCAACCCAAACCATTCTATGATTCTATGAATAGTGGAATGGAGCTCAGAGGTGCGTTTCGCCCCGTTGTGCTCCCGTTTCATCTCGTTCCTGTTCTGAGCTCAACACAGGATTTTTGTGCTTCTGTCCAGTCCCGCAGTTGCTCATCTTTTATACATGGTATTTCCAGTTTGACTCCACTGTTTTTCGAGTTCCCTGTTGCTAATTGCATCAAACTGCGTTTCCACTGAGACTGCAGCAGTGTCATCAACCTGTAACCTGTCAAATCCCTCCACCTAATTCGATTGTTGTTGTCTGTGTAGCGCTGCTTTGCGCCGTTGTTCCCTCGCTGCCTACGGTGGGGGCTGGATTTTGATCAAGTGCTTTCTTGCACTTGGAGCGCGCTTCAAGCTGCTGGAGGTAGCTGGATGCAAACAGAGAGAGACAGTTACCCGAAGAGCTCTGCCACCTGTAATCTGGAAGCAGGGAGATCAGTTGTCTCTTCTGCCAGCCAGCCGGGAAGCTGATGGGCTGAAGAAAGGTTGGTGAAACTTCACAAAGTCCTTTAACGCTTTTTTAGGGATCGCTTCTTTCTCGTTTGGCACTAAATAATGCACCAGGCACGGCTGGGTTGGACAGAAAGGATACGTGCACCTTGGAAACTCTCCCAGCACCTCCGTTATTTTACTTCTTTTGGTGTCATCTGAGGAAATGGTGGAAACATCTGCAGGGCTTTTCACTCTGTTCTTGGTTGGCGTCCGTAGGAACTTGCAGGCTGCTTGGGTTTTAACGAGTGGGATTGCAACTTCCTCTGAATGGATGTTCAGACCAGATCACTTCTGGTGGTCAGGTATCTGTTCCTCCACAGACACAGAATGGTTTTTGAAGTTACGTGTCCTCTGATGTTGGTTTTCCCTTTCTGAATGCGCTTTTACCAGGTGACAGTACCCTTGTGAGTTGGAAGCTCTCTGGAGAAACATAGCTGAGGTGACTTGCTTTTGTTGCTGCTTGTATTAAGCTCTTCCAAGTGCGTGGAGGTGAGTCTGTCAGCACACAGAAGCACCCTACCACCCTTCAGGGTGGTCTGGCCTCGTGTTTATGGCAACCAAAGGCTGGTCCTTGGTCTTCTCCATCAATTTGACAGTTTTCTTGGGGATTCTGTATACAAAAGCATTTTTTTCCACGTTTCCAGGTGACTTCAAATCTACAATGCAGCATCTTAGAGCTGAGTGCTTCTTTTCCTGGGAATTACCTCCTTTAGTTATTTGGGCACCTAATTTCCCTCTGTTTCATTTAGCATTCCTGAATGATGATGGAAAGTCAGATTGCCCTGACCACCTGGTCATACCACTGACCAGCAGATTTTCCAGCCAACATTAGGGTTAGAAGTGGCTCCTCTGGGAAGACATTGCTGTGAAGATTAAGGAGGAGGATATAAGAGGTAAGGGCTTAACTGGGAAAGAAAAAGGGGGTTAATCATCGCCTCAGCAGCGACCGGTGCTGTGGGGAGCCCGGGCTGTGCAGTGCCTCTGCAGATGGGCTCTGTCCACTTCCACGGCAGCAGCACTTTCCTGCTCCCTGACACGACAGAAACTTGCTGGCTGGTTTCTCAGCTGACAGCTTGAAGTTGGGAATTAACTATTGTCCTGATTTTGGCTGGGATAGAGTTAATTTTTCTCTTAGTAGCTAGAATAGCACTGTGTTTTGGATTTGGTGTGGGATTTGGTATGAGAAGAATGTTGTTAATATACGGATGTTTTTAGCTGGTGCTAAGAAATCAAGGACTTTTCAAGTTCCTGTGCTTTGCCAGTGTGCAGGTGCACAAGGAGCTGGGAGGGAGCGCAGCCAGAGCAACTGACCCCAACTGACCAAAGGGATACAGAATCATAGAACAGTTTGGGTTGGAAGGGACCTCAAAGATCACCCACTTCCAATCCCCCTGCCATGGGCAGGGACACTTTCCACTACATCAGGTTGCTTAAAGCCTCATCCAACCTGGCCTTGAGCACTGCCAGGGATGGGTCAGCCACAGCTTCTCTGGGCAACCTGTTCCAGTGTCTCACCACCCTCATTGTAAAAAGTTTCTTCCTCAGATCTAATTTAAATCTCCCCTCTTTCAGTTTAAAGCCATTGCCCCTTGTCCTGTCACTACTCGCCCTTGTCCAAAGTCCCTCTCCAGCTTTCTTGTAGACCCCTGATATGAAGTCATCCTCAGTATATAAAGCTGGAGGAAGAGGGAGATGTTCGGAGTGATGGTGTTTGTCTTCCCAAGTCACTGTTACACATGATGGAGCCCTGCTTTCCTGGAGATGGCTGAACACCTGCCTACCCATGGGAAGGAGTGAAGGAATTCCTTGTTTTGCTTTGCTTGCGTGTGTGGCTTTTGCTTTCTCTGTTAAACTGTATCTTAACCCGTGAGTTTTCTCACTTTTACCCTTCCAAATCTCTCCTCCATCCCACCAGGGCAGAGCAAGCAAGCAGCTGTGTGGTGCTTAGTTTCCAGCTGGGGTTCAGCCGTGACATGTGTCCAGTTTCCAAATCCAGATGGACCAAGTGAGAACCTCATCTGCTCGAAATAACAAAATATTTACAGTCTACTCTGCATCTTTCCATTTGAGAGAAGCCAACAGTGGGGCACAGGAAGGCTTCCTTTGGTCCAGAGCAGGTCCTTGC